GAGAGAGAGAGAGAGAGAGAGAGAGAGAATCCCAAGCAGGCTCCATGCTGTCAGCACAGAGGCCAAAGCAGGGCTCAATTTCATGAGATCACGACCCAAGCTGAAATCAAGAGTCAGACGCTTAACTGACTGGGCCATCCAGGTGCCTTTTTTTTTGGTCATAAAAACATTTTTTTAAACCTAAGGAAGTAAGTACACTTTTGTGGCTCAAAGTTTTTATGTTAACGAAAACACCTCAGAATCACTACGTTTAAAAATATTTTATGAAAGCGGAATATGTTCCAGATTTCCATTAATTATTTTTATTTTAAAATAATACAGTTTTATCATAGTCTTGCTCCCAAGTGTCTAAAAATGTTGAATAAACGGTACTCTGAAAAGCAAATCATAACTCAACTGATAATTTTTTTTTCTTTTTCTTTTTCTTTTTTCTTTTTTTTTTTTTTTAGAAAGAGAGAGAGCATGAATGGTAGAAGGGAGAGAGACAGAATCTCCAGCAGGTTCCATACCCAGCGCAAAGCCTGATGCGGGGCTTGATCTCACAACCCTGAGATCGTGATCAGAACCAAAATCAAGAGTCGGACGCTTAACGGACTGAGCCACCCAAGCAACCCCTCAACTGATAATTTAAATGTGAGTATCCACACAGACTAAAGACGAAAGCAGAATAGTTAGGGGAAAACATACATACGCACAGCTTATTAAGCAGAAGTGTTACATTAAAAATTATGAGCTTTGTTTCAGATTCTTAAGAGAAATGAAAGCCTGTGATAAGGCAGATCTTTGTCGGGAGAACGTCTGTGACTCCGCCCTCTGCGGCATTTTCCCACAAGACATCCACCTTCCATGAGCCTCCCTCCCTCCCTCCTGTCCAGGATCCTGCAAAGTTTACTGTGCCTGGGGGCTCTCAGGGTGCACCCCTGAAATGAGGATTTCACCCCGATCAGCAGTTCGGCATCCACAGGGAACCTGTTAGAAATGCAAACTCTCAGGTCCTCCCTGGACCTTGTTAATCAGAAACTCTGGGAGCCGACTGGCAATCTGTATTTAACCCTCCAGGTAAGTCTGCTGTTTTGGAGTCTGTGAGCCACTGACCCAGATCCAGGGCTCCCACAGCCACCTGTGTGCATCACTGTCACCAGCAAACTCCACAGTGCCCCCCCGATTCCTACCCGAAGAAGGTAGCCCAGGACACTACAGAATCCCAGACGTTCTTACTGGGTCGACGGTGTGGATCACTGGATTCGGCAGTCTTGAAGGCCCTTTCGAGGAAGAGCTGTTTCGCCAAGTCAGCCCCAGTAGTTCCCGTTTTGCTTGGGCACTTTCCAAGCCAGAGAGATTGGAAGGCAAGAGAACTCTGCACCCGCGGCTGCCGGGATCTTGATGCCCAGGAAATCCCTGATCCCAGGAGACACAAGCTCCAGTCTCGTTTCCAGCACGGTGACAGATGCCCCAAACTGAAGGCCAGCCGCTTTGCCCCTCTCCTACTCTGCTTACAAGCAGTTATCAGTTTCCTTTGGTGTTAAAGAGAGACGTGACCTTATTTTCCAACACCGGGCCCCCGAGAGAGTGCCCTGAATAGATTCTGTTAAGTCTACCGTGGAGCAGATTCAGCTTGCGAGGCATCATGAAATAAACCCAAAATGAGAAGTCAAAAAGATGCCGCCAGAAATGGCGACAGCCATGGGGGTTGTGGGTGAAGCTGGGAAGTCAGGATGAAAACAACCTGGGTCTCAGCGCAGGGGACAGAAAGCCCACTGCCCAGCTCCCTCCGAACCCCCACTTCCCCATCCCAACAACGGAAAGTCCACTTGATATGGCAGCCCATTCCGATCTGGGTGAGCTGTGACCTTCATTAAGCTGAAACCCGCCTCCGTATCACTTTCCCCCGTGGGTCTTGGCTGGGCAATCGGCAGAGCATGCGGTCACTAATCCCTCCACCCCACAGAGGCTTTTCGAGTATAGTCAACTACTGTGTGCTGAGCCCAGAAATGTGCCGGGCTGGGCGTCTGGACAGGAGAGTAGCCCATCTCCATCCGACGAGACGTGCGGGTCGGGGGACGGCCATTGGGATATCCCAACCCCCCCCCCCCATCCTCTTACACTGGCCTCCGCACTTGCTGTTATATTTCATGTTTGATATACATAGGTAAAGATTATGGAACCCCAGGTATTCGCCTTCATTTGTGGTACTGAAAGAAATCTTTAAGTAAAGCCCAGTCAGTCTCAGTTGCAACCTATCTAATTCCAAAACAGCCTGTCTGGGTGGGAAGATGCTCCAGGAAAACCCATCAGAGGGTCACCAACAATCCCTCTCGAGCCTGGGGGGGAAGCAGGGTTGGCAGAAGGGACATCCCAGGGGACGGTGAAATGCAGGAGCTCTGAGAACAGCTCCAGGCAGGGAGGCACCTGCACGAGAAGGCAAATGTGGGAATGCTCACTCCACCTTGCCACCTCAGGGAAATGAGACACGTGACCCCGGGAAAGGGAAGAGCAGGCTGGGGGGGAGGGGGGGCAGGGGGAATGCCTCCTTCTGCCCACTGAGTATATGCTCTATACCAGCTTTTCCACTCCCCAGTGACTTGAAGATGCCACTGGTGCTACCTTTTGGCCCCAGTGTCCCTGTAGGCAGGACCATAGTAATACCAACACAGCAGTGTTGTTGTCAGAAGAAATGGGTAACCTCAGGTGACCGCCAGCAGCCCCCCCCCACCAAGGCACAGGATCCCAAGGGTATGCCTGCCTCACGCTCCCGTCACCACACCCTCCCAGAGAATGCACTGCTCGTGGCCCAGAGACATCGCCAAACCCCCCTTTGAGATGTTCTACCCAAGAGGCAATTAAGTTGGAAGAAATTTTCTGCCACAGGACTCCATAAAACTTGTAATTGGGGATGGGAAAAAAGAAATGACCTCTAAATATTTTTCACACCCACAAAAGGTAAAGAATTAAACACCTGACCGCCCCAATGTAAATATTTAGTACGCAAGTTTCAACAAGGTCACGTAGGTAACTCCTACCTTCCGAATACAAAGGATTTTCAACAACCAACTTATAGACCAAAAATCACATTAAGAACTCTTCTGGTTTTACCGTGAACCCTGCCTTCTTTCACAAAAGATGTGAGATACCTTTAAGAAAAATTGTCATCAGAGGGAACCAGGTAGTTTAAGAAACTAGAGAAAATTAAAGCACAGAAACTGGTCAAGACAGAGAAACACTACGCATAGTTTCCTACTAAGCCGCTATAGGCGAGCTTAAATTTTGCTTCAAGTTTATTGTTTCTGATCAAATTATTTGCCTCACGTGTTTCTGACACATTTTCAAGTGTGTAAAGTGTAGAACACCCCGGCTGATAGCAGTGCAACAGCTACTTACTGACATGTCCACCAAAACACAGAGGGAGA